AGAACTTGGGTTCATGTTTTTTCAAAACCATCCGCAGCGCCAAGGAATTCGCTACCTGATCTTTGCAGCATGGGTTCAGGGGATGGTGTTGGGTGAAACACGGACCGCCAAGCCTAGGCCCCTGGAAGAGGGACGAATTTGTTGAAGGAACCTGAAACTTCCACGCTCAGGGAAGTCATCTCGCTCAGGATGACAGATCAGCACATTCTGAATGTGCTCCTGAATCCAAACGGCCTGTCCAAAACCGGGATCTTTGAGGGAGTCCCCAGCTCCAGGACAGCTTTCCGAATGTGTGGGCTTGGCTTCGCGCGTGGTAGAACTGGTTCTGCATGCCACAAGAAAGCTTGGAGCTTGCTTGGTCAATCTTGGTCATTTAGACATGAACACACCACTCGGTCGCATAATAAATCTGCGAACTCAAACGACATCGGATGCTAAGTCTCCAATTGGGGCTCTTCATGCAACTTGAATTGAACCCATTGACCGCCGGGCTTTTTCTCCGGCTCACTTGAAAATGCCTTCCGTAGGCCAGGATCTTACGCCCAAGGACGTAAGGCGCCAATAAGCTCACACAGATTATTCGTTTGGGTGTCTTTTTTTTTGGGGGGGGAAGGGGGCGTCCCTGAGAGTTTGTCATCAAGGCTCTGGCCAGTTGGCCTGATCCCAGAGCCCTGTGCCTGAGGGTCTGGCAAACTCGTCTCCCCTTGCTCCGGCCATTTTAGCCGTAGCTCAAAGTGACGCCTGACCCGCGACGCGACGGGAAGATTGTGTACATCAGACCGGACAAAAAGCTTTGTTCATGCAAAAAGGACATGGACAAAGCCGATTCCCCGATGAATAGCAATCCACTACCGCACATGTTGTCAGTTGTTGCGAATTTCTGATCTGAGAACATGTTGCTGCAGTCGATATGCAAAACGGACCAAGCAGGCACCACTGTCCGGCCTTAATGCCGGCAGATGAGTTTCGCTGGAACTCCCAACAAAAACGCCAGGCTTGCCGCAAAGCTTGTTTGGGTGTTCACGCCATGCGCTCTGGCAAATGGACAATTTCATCCCTCAAGGTGGCTTCCCCTGAGAGAAGCTGAACAATTCAGGCGATTTGCAGTATCCAGCCAATGCAGGCACGCAGACACCCCTACAGGCTGCGTTGCCTTCAAAGGCAAACAGTCCATCTTTTTGAGCTCATCTCCACTGCTTTCACAGGCCTGGCCCCGAGGGACAGGGAGATGATTCGGCAGTCTCGATTCCTGGCTCACAGACCAGGGCCTAGGTTTCAAAAGGAATACCAACAGCCTCCAGCCAACTTCCATTGCTGGAAACTGCTGGAAAGTGAGTAATCATTGTTGTGCACCTGAGCCCCGGAATCCCGCCAAAAAAAGAGGGAAAACCAACAGGTTGGATTTGGGCGAGTGAGTGAGGATACAAAAAATGATGCCTCCGCTTCTTGGAAGTTGATTGACTGGATGGATCACTTAGCTATCTTTCTAGAACAAGTTGCGAAGGGGGTAGGCTCATATATGCGTTGCTCGCAACCTGGTACCATCATGGAAGATTCGTTTGCATTCCACTCCCCAAGCACAGGAACATCTGATAAGTCTGACCATGGCTCATCTAAGTTCTACGAATGAACTCACAACTCACATATTGAGCAGTTTGAGATCCCTCACTGGAACAGAACATGGTGGTGAAGGCGTGTTTCTATCAGTCTGAAAATCATCTTGAATTGGTCTCACGAGTCACCAAAGTCTGCTGCAACGTACCTCAAGCATGCTATGCTTACAAAAGGTCAGCAATTATCTGCTGAACACATACAGGTTAGGGCTTGCCTCTATCAATAAATTGCATGCCTTCTTTACGCGGGGTGCGGGGGGGGGGGGAGACTATACAGGCTTACCGACTCGGCAACATTTACCCCTAAATCTGGGGAACGTGCATCCCCAAATTGGTAAATTGAAGACCAACACAACATCAACCATTTGCAGGGGCCCTGGTTCGACATGCACACACACACACACCCAGCCATAAAGAATGGTGCACACAAAGCATCCCTGGAATGACAATCGCATAGTCTTTTGCACGAAGGGACCAACCACTTACGAATTCTCTATCTGCTGTTCAGCATGTTCTTGACGACGATATAATAATTACTATTTTGAGCAATACTATATTTGTCGTTCAGTTACATCTAAATCTCATATTAAGATTAAGAGCTACTATTTTTGGGGCTTGCTGCTTTCAGGTTTTCCTTGCTTTGCCTTCCCCTCTCCCACGCTCATCCTGGTTTCCGCACTGGGCGGGCGTTTGAGTCACTTTCCTCCTTTGGATTTGGAAATCAAAGGCCAGCCATTTGGGACCTCATGACTGACGGGTTCAAGCTGGGAAACCAAAAGCCTCAAGCTCATCCGCTTTTCGGGGCCTCCGCTTTTCGGGGCAAAGGGCATGCACTACTTTGCGCTCGCATGACCCTTGCCTCCCGTCGAAGAGACGCTCGTCATCTGAATGCCAGCTGACCTTGCGGGAGGGGGGATTGAAGTTAAATTCTTGCCA